GTCGAGGAAACTTTGGTCTAAGATTTAGATCCGGAAATAAAATAACAAAAGATAGAAGTAAAATGTAAATTTTCATCTATATAGTCGGCAGACAAAATTAAAGCGCTAGATTTTGATGTGTGAAAAGGACAGATAATTATCGAATAGCTTAACTCGATTAGAGGACTATAATCGGCAACCAAAAATTGATAGAATAGAAAATCGCATTTCAATGTGCTGTGCCATGAAAGGAATGAAATAACTTATGCCATTTTAAAATATGAAGATACAATTAAGAAGACATTTTTCATCAATGACGAAGTATTTGACTAAAGATGACGTAAATGAGGGAAGATTGGGGTTATCTTGAAAACAGATAGTAAAACGTCTTTTAAAGTATTTCATTAATCTTCATGCACATAGGTTAATTGTGCAATTGCGATTATGCTGACATAGCTTGTTCTAGCGTATTGCAGGAAGAGCAGATCAACGTGATACTCAAGAAACTAGGCAGTGTTTATAGATACATTTTTCTTCGAACATAGCATGCTACATTGGATCTCATGAAATCGGTTAACACGAAAAAAATGAATATAAAACTATTTCAGTACTCTTCCTGTCAACAACAATGAAATCAAGACTGAACTCATAATAAAAGGAAAGTTAAGGGCAGAAACCCAACCTGCATGAGCCTCAGCTATAAGAAGACGCCGCAGAAATCGCAGTGAAAAGTAGCGCAAATTCAATGCAAAATTTTGTTTAACCTTCAAATTCAACAAAAATAAAATAAAATAGAAATTGACCGTAACGCATAGAACGTTAAACACACATAATAGCGTAAAGAACATTCCGTGAGATGAGCATTCCTGCTACGAAATTAGTAAGTATATGCTGCCAGGCAGCAAGAATATTATACAAAGGAAGTTAAGAATATAGCTAAATCAATGAAAAAAGCAACAAAATGAAAAAAATAATCTAAATATTAATAAGGCTTTACTTATTCTGAAAATACTGTAAACTCGAGTATAGCGATGGTAAATGCTAAATTTTCTTTCAAAAAGTTTTAAGAGTTGGTGGCTCAATTTAAATAGTATACTCAATAAAACGTACACAGAGAAGCCTATCCACGTTAAGCTTTATTCACAAAAATGTACAGCTTGCATAAAATATATACCGTCTACATAATAAATATACGTAATTAAATAAATTGTGAAAAATAAGCTCTACAGGACGCATCAAATCAACTTGACCAACAATCCTAAGTCAAGAGATTTGCGAATGGCAATGCAATTTTTTAAGGCTCAATATATATAATAGGTAAATAAAGAATGACTTGCCTCCCAGAAGCCGAGAGAAAAATATACAATACTTGAAGTTGCTCAGTCAGGCATGTTCCAGTCATGTAACTGAAAATAGAAAAATTTATGTAGATTTGACAACGCAAGTAATGCTTTTGATTATAAGGCATTGCATGATGAAGGGACCATATAGTGGTCCAAAAGTAATGCCATTTGAGTGGAATACTTTGAGGAATAAACGAAGTAAAGTTTAATCTATTACAGACGAATGTGATAGCCAGAATTTACATCGAAAGTCACTTACGTAAGTTTAATCCAAACGCAAATACGAGCAAGAAGAAGACTTGCCATTTGTGCCAGCTCTATTTCAAGTTCGGGGCCAGACCTATGCTTATTCTGGTCGATAAAATCCTGTAGCATAATTTTTCTTTTTTCCTTAGTAGCCTTATCCCACTCCCGCAACTTGCAAACCATATTGTACGTAGAACGGTTAGATTTGAGAGGAAGCATTTTATCTGAAAGAAAATAATTGACCAACCATACAAACAAAAAGACAGTTTAATTGTATATAAAAGGATTGGACGATAATGACGGAAAAACGGGTCGTAATAACGTAACAGATGGGCAACTATTTATATATTCTAAATATGCTGGGGGGAAATGATGCTGTAATGATGAGGGAGTAAGGAAGAGACATAAATATTCAAAAGGAAATACATGAAATAAACAGTGATAAATAGCACCGTGGAATTGCTGTAAATCATAAAATCAACTTACCATTAATATTACCTCTGTAAGATGCGTACTATACAGGCATAGGTGATGCAAAGGGAAAGCATAATGTCGGACAGATGAATTTGGAGAAAATGCCAACGTTGATATAGTTACAAACTATGTGAAAACGATATAATAAAAGAATTTGACATAAATTTACTATAATTTATAAAGTATGTGATAAAATAATATAATTTTTCTTGTATACAATATATTATTAATTATTTTTGTGATTAATTTGTTTTTTTTCTATATACCGTATTTTCCAGTGTATAAGACGACTAGGCGTATAGGACGACCCCTTGAATTTTCAAGTTAAAATATAGATTTTTTAAGGAGATAAAGAGCACAACAGGAGCTCGGAATTATAGTATAATTAGCGATCCCTAAATTACACTCGGCGTATAAGACGACCCCCCACTTAGGAGCATAAATGTATGATGTGAAAAGTCGTCTTATACGCCGAAAAATACGGTAGTATTTTAGTCTACCATGACTGATATTCAGAGAATTTCCTCAATAAGATCTAATTAAATATGATCTGAGTATTTGTCCAAATTCCTTAAGTTCAAGATTAATAATAAGGTTAAAGACGATAACAGCCAAAAAACGCAACACAGCATATACACAAGCCTTCATACTTATAACCCCAACATAGAGAGCTTAACTAATTCAAAAAAAATCACTTCTACTATTAGGCAACTGGAAAAATAAATTATTATCACTAATAAATTAAAAAAATACCTTAAAGTTGATTAGGATAGTAGCACGATGATTCCTGTTCCCCTACGAGTTTACATCTACAGGATTGGTTAACAGTATCACTGCGTTTTGCTTTGACTGGCTATGAATTTACCATGTCATTGGAACCTTTGCTTTGAATTCATTCTTTGGTAAAAAAAATATATGTAAATTGAACTGATCCGAAATCAAATGAAGATTTCTTTGAAATCCGATCATCTAAATAAGTCTAAAATTCCTAGGAATACTGTCTTGCGTCCTATTCTGACCTTTTAGTTTTATTGCCATTCCTGAGGATTTCAAAGTAGCCAATATTTTCTAAAAAATCATGTAACAAATAATATGTCCGCACAAAGGACGAGGTATAATTTTGCTTATTTATTATTTTATCATTAAGGCTACTCCTCGCTTCTCCTTGCGTATTTAAAGCTGCACGAAAGTAATGCAAATGTTATTAAATATTTGACTCATAAATAATTTTTTGGAGCATTATGCTTAGGAATTAATTTATTCAAATGATTCAGTTTGGTATCTGCTTCTGTCCATGGTGAGATCATTCACATTCCAATTTTACTCAATCTTTATACGAAGTTAAAGTTCCAACTAAGCTAAATATTTATGGAATTCATTAAGATGCAGCTAAAATACAATATTCGAATACATTTTTACTTAATTAGGAAAACCAATGATAATGAACTGGTTATAGAAAATTTTGAAATCGTCCAAATATGTAG